ACTGTAACCATGTAGAGTGGAATTAAATTGTAATAGCTTGGTGGTTAAGATTGCTTGCTGTCCATTCCTAGGGTCCCATGTTTAGTTCCTGTCATGGCAACAGGATTTTTTCTCATGATCAAAACAACTCCACTCCCTAAGCCTCATATAAGACTTGGTCTACGTAAAGCATCATGTGTTTTTGTTTGTCTTGTGAAGAGAATTCTACCTATCTAATAGGATAGTGATTAAGAAAGTCGCTTTTCATAATCCTTGACCATGTGCCTAAAGGAAGAAAATAATTAATTTAAATAAATAAATTTTTTAATTGTGCTTGATGGGATGAGATTATGCTTCTTCTTTTTGTCTAAAAACGCCTTGCCTTTTTTACCCAGCTTACCCCAAACATGGCACAAAACCACTTCTAGGTAAGGGGTTACTTTGTTATTAGTTATAATTATATGCCATGAAATTCTTGCACCTTGGGCTAAAACATACCATGAACCACTTCACAGTCCTTCATTAAATTAACAATGTCTGCCTAAATATAAATGTACCTCTAATCATCATGATTTGGTAAATGTCATAATTTAGCCTCCTGGTTAAAATTTGACTTTTAAAATAAATTGAAATTTAAAATTGAGCATATCTAGTACAATTGAAAACAATACAGTTTTTATTACATATAACAAAATACAATATATGAATAAACTGTATTTTCTTTTATTATAAAATTAAAAAAAAAAAACATTAAAAAAGTGAAAGGTCAGAATTATCTAAGGTATAATGAAACCTTTAATCAGCATAGAAGACTTTGGTCTGCTATCTCAGCTGCTAAGTGTGCAATTAGTGAGATATTTTATAAGACATTGCAAGAAATGTTAATTATAACAGTATTTATTGTCTAGAAAGTTATATGATATTGTCAAAGAATTATGATAATACAGAAGTAATGACATTTATAACTTTGTTTTACTTTAAATAAATGACTTAAAACCCAAATGTTTCTTACAGATAATGGTTTTGATATATCAGAAGCAACAAGACATGAACACTTCCAAGAAATCATGAAGCTAATGTATATAGGTGAGTGATCATGGGAATAAACTAGTATGGTACATGCCATACATTTTATTAATTGTCTAACTTATCTTTAAAATGGACGAAACCTACCTGTTGGGTTAACGCTACCCATAGGTGTGTTTTGCAAATCATAAAACATAATCTAAACACTTCATTTCCAACTTTAAGTAACTAAGGAAACAACTAAACGAGAAAACATGCAACATGCAACCTCACTGCTTTTAGTGGTCATGAATAATTATTCACTTTTATTGGAACAAATAGCGACATTAACTTACTAGAGGATAGGTGAGTGTGTTATTAATTATAATTTACAATTAGTGGTATGTGCTATACAAGGACATTTAATAACTAGATTTGAACTCATCACTAGGATGAGTTAGGTGATTCACTTGTCTGGCAAACGAATTGTACCCCACCCAGTTTTGAAATGGTCACCACAGGCAAGCTAGCCTCAGGCAACAATGAAAATTATATGCATGCTTTTTTACACGTACATTTTGAAATTAAGATACATGACATTCAACCTTTACCTGAAGTTTATGCCCACTGAATATGATTTAGAAATGACAATTGCTTAGGATGATATGATCGATAATGTAACACATCATTAAAAATACAAAATTGCACGTAGATGATGTTACGCGTGACTGATCACATTGAAAAGCTTATTGAGACTGTTCCAGGCCAAGCCAAATGATCGTGGAAGGTTGCGTGTTAGTGTTTGGCAATTTTGAGATATCATGCTAGCAAAAATGGGGAGAAAGAAAGAAGAGTAAAAATAAAATTGTAAAAAAAAGATCTCTGACGAAGAAGTGTGATCCACTGAGATTAACTCAAGCAATTTAAATTATCCAACATTATTAATTATCAGGATCTTTTTATTTATTTATATATATAAACTTTCACCATTGTATTTTTCTTTTCTACAGAATGTGCATTTGGTGCAATCCTGTTCTTATGTGCTCTAATATATTTTCCAGCCAAACCACCGCTGCCACCGAGTGTCTCAGCATCAACAGTACGAGAGGATTTTGTCAAAGGGTTGAAAAGAGTCATAAAGTAGGATTTAAAAGTCCTTGTTGATTAATATTGTAAAGTATTATTATTCAGAAATTTGATATGTACTTTTTTGTGAGTATGAATTTTTGAATCCAATAGTAATAATGTTTTTTTTTTCATTAAAATAAGGAATCCACAAGTATGGATCCTTAGTCTTTCTTACAGTATAACAACTGGATTGTTTAACAGTTGGAACACTCAGTTTGATACAATTTTCAGTAACACTGTGAATGTTCAGCAGGTTAGTATATTCAAACTTATTGATATGGTGGCCCTATGTTCATGTCTGCCTACTTCATTTTATTTTTATAAAAAAAAAAAAAGCAACAAAGAAAGAGGTGGCCTGAGGAGTGACAAAAGCAGTACATAAACTACTATCACCGGATATGGTGTGCCCCTGCAACTCCAATATTCAATACATTAAAACACAAGTTAAATATAAATGGAATTTGCCAATATAACTATGAAAAGTCAAGATAAAATATTAATACAAAATTTAATTTATCAAATATTTGTTATTATTATTAGTAATTTATAAATAAAAATAAACTATAAAAGCTTAGATAAAAAAATGAATAACAATTTTATTATATCAACAATATTTAATATTCTTTAATTTGTTAACACCATAAATTTAATTATCACTATGTAAACAATTGAGGTAAAAATTAAACATAAAAAGACCATAACAAAAAGTATTCAATAAATTTATGAATACCATTAATTTTAATTATCATTATTACCTTAGTGACCGAGCCAGCATCCAATTACATTTTTTCAGTAATCTTCCCCATGGTAACAATCTCTATTTATATTAAAACGTTAAATAAGAATAGATCAGTTACTCTCTGTTATACAATTAATTGCTTACTAAATGCAGTTGAACACCTATTAAGGACACCTTTGGGAACAAAAAAAGTGTCCCCAGAATAGGGGTTGGCTATAGTGTTAAAAGGCATACTTTTAATCATTTTGTGGCCAAAAATGTGTCCCTTCATAGCGATGCCCCTTAATAGGGGTGTCCTCAAAGGAGGGGTTTACTGTATAATCCAATTATTTTTAAATAGTAAATTAATTATTTTTAATAATAATTAATTAATTTATAATATTATTATTAATTATTATTATTAATTTTATTTTTTTTATTATTATTGTTATTAATTAATTAATTAATAATAATAATACAGTAAATAATTATTATTATTATTAATTACTTTTAAATAGTAATAGTGTAGGGGTTTACTGTAGTTGATATATTTCTTCTGCATGTCTAGTTTTACATGGATTATTTATGTACAATTATTTTTATTTATTGCTAAGATACATTCAAGAAGTATTCATATACTAAAAAGTTATAGATGGATTGACAGTGTATAGGAAAAAATGTTATGAACTTTCAGCTCTCTCACTAAAATAGTGATCTTTTTTATTATTCATAATAACTAACGTGCATCCACATGCTTGGTCACTTGTAAAATTTTAGAAATTCTGGTATTCAAACTTATTGGTATAGTGGCCCTATGTTCCTCTTCCTACCTTGGCAACCTAGCCACCATCAACCTAACTTTCTTTGTTAATATTTATTGCTTGCTATCTGCCATTACAGTGTAATCATGACAGTGTAATCATAGAGAATATACAAGATAAACAAGTGGCAACTACAATGTCAAAAAATATGATTTATATGGTTCAAAACATTAGCAAAAGCAAATAGCACATCAATAACAAATATTAGTAACATGGAAAGCAGGCATAGCTCTATAAGTTAAGGACTTTCTTCCGTAGAGTGAAACCGAAAGACTACGTATCAAACAAGTTTCCTATTGAGAAAGTGTTCTGTTTCAATTAAAACATTAATTAAAAATAGATCATAAATTAGTAATATTGCTAAAACTAAAGCTGGTTGCTAGATGATGTTAGCAATGTGTTATTCAAACCTATGCTAGCTGTCTTGTCATGAATTTTACGCACATTGTCAGCATTGTGTTATCGCAAGATGAGCACCTCATTTTTATTTATTATATAAATATTTGGCAATCTTAGAGAATATCTAGGATTGCATAGAACATAGGTATATTTATTTGATGTATTTTACCCTAAATCAGAGGAGAAATTTTATACAGCAAATTAGTTTGCTTTTTGTTTATCCCGTCTCTGATGTTTGGTCTGTTGTAAATTTTATTGGTTGCATTGTTATTGTTTGATGAAATAATGGCAACCTACTGTTTAAATATCCTGGCCACCATATGAGCTACAGGCTAGGCCATTTGCTAAGTATTTCACAGACAGGTTAATGTTGTACAGTATACTCATATTTCAACACATTTCAACATTTCTCTAGGATGTTACTGGTTGGATTGGATTTTTCTCAAATATTGCAGGAACTGTAGGTGGCCTAGTGGTGGGAAGGTGAGTTTCCGGTTCTTGTGTCATATAGTGCAGATAGTTTTAATAAGTTAATCAAGAAAGTGCAATACAAGTGGTAACTAAACATTTATTTATAATTATAATATTGTGAAATATTATTAAGTCTAACATTTCAGCCATGTAGCCAATTACAGTATAATTCTTGTTCGGTTTACTGTATGTTCTGGGAGACTAATTTGGTGATTTTTTATAGTGTAATCTGTAGTCCCTTCTGACCATAATCACAACCAACTGGTGATCCATGTCTCACCCAAAGTCAGCCTGTTGTTTTTTTCAAAATCAATATTCAAACAATCTTTTGGCAAATTATTGGGGGCCTACAAGAGGGTCGGCACACACGCTTAAATTGTAGGGTTGGCCTAATTAAAGCCCACCCGGCCCACCCTGTGCCACTGCCAGTAACTGGATACACATTTGTCCTGATATAGACAAGCAGATGCTCAGAAATGGGTATCAAAGCATCGTGATAAACCATTGAGGGCAAAAAATGGTTAGCAAATTATTAAATAGGCTTTGATAGAGCATCTTTGAATTAGAGTGGGGCCCAGAGAAGATCATACACAGATGGAGGGTTTAGGGCACATTAGACCCATCATTGTTGGGGCTGAGGTGAGAAAATTTATGATTATGGCACCCTAGATGGCTGGCAATGGAATTTGAATATACTTTTCTTTTTTACCCCATTTTTTTTTGTCAATTTTGAAAAATTTAGTTGGAGCCAGTGCCAGCTGGCTGCCCCCACCCTCACCTACCTACCCACCCTTTTATATCCACCACAGATCGCTATGAAGCACCTTTGTTAAATTTTTGTATTATCTACAAATCTGTGGTGTCAATTATTTGTTTTACTTTATGAACTGATTGATTTTATTTGTTTTTCAGATGTGTGGATTTCATGGGTGGACGTATGAAAATAGTACTTTTAATTTTGACAACACTTTCAGCTGGTTTCTACATTTGGGTAGTTTGTATTTGTTCTAAATACATCATATTTGAACTCTGTGAGTAGAATTTGTTTCTATTAATTTATCCAAAATTATATATTAATGCAAAATGAATATAGTATGAGAAAAAAACAGAAAATCCAACTCAAAATGACATGCATAAAAACATATTGTTTCAAATATTTGAACATAGTGACTGGAGCGTATTTAAACATGGGCGTCGTTCGGTGGGGACAAGGGGACACGTTCCCCCCACTTTCTAAAGTGGGGGGGGGACCATCATATCAATTTCCCCCCCCACCCATTTTTCACTAATCGTCTATAGTTAAAACCCCACTTTTAAAAGCGATTTGAAAGAACAACAACAATTATGAATGACTGTCATAAATTGTCTGTTCACTTGTGCTCTGTTCCAAGTGTGGTTCAGAGTTTTTCAGACCAAAACCAAGTAAAAGCGCACTTGTTTGTACATTTCGTAACCATCTCAGTAACCATCCATCAATTTACAGTGGTGGACTTACACAATATTGGGGAAGAAAAGAAAATTCTACTCTAAGATTGAGAAGAGTTCCATTTCTCGCCATCTACTGTAGAGGTGCCATAATCATAAATTTTTTTGCCTCAGCCCCACCATGGTATAGACCTCCATTTGTCAGTGTCCCTCTTTGGGCCCCCTCTATTTCAAATTCCTGGATCGTCCACTGGGGTGCAACGGTTATCAGAGCCTAAATTCATTGGGAAAACAATGTACTGTACGTTGTTAAAATTGGAAGCTCAACTCAAAAGTGCACAATTTATACTATAAGCAATTTATTCATTTTGTATATTATTAAGACCTGTATATGCTAGTGTGTACAATATTATCTGCATACATAAATTCCTGTTTTTCCTAATTTCAAAAATTTGTACTTAGTCAATTATATTTTACATAGCCGTTATTAAGCAATAATTATACAGCCTTTGACACGGATAGGTCTATCTATTTGGACTTTATTTAAGTAGTGATACCGCACATTTACAAACTCTGATGTTACATTAACGCAATCTCGCGATAATGATAAATTAAGTAAATCACCTTTATGATTGTGAAATAATAATGCTAACTAATGTTTTGTGTGCTTAAATCCATCAAAACCAATAAGTAGATAATAAGTCATTATTTTTATGAAATCCTTTGCGAAAATTGCTATAGTATTTTGTAAGGAATTTTATACGTTTTTCTTTTATTTTAGTTGACTTACTCATTGCTTTTAATTGAAGCTATATTGTTTATTTATATCTTAATAATTGACAAGCTTTTTGGGGGTTTTGCGCCCATCCGCACACTGCCCCGCCACTGCACCATATACTGTACTCTATACATGCTGGCTGAGCATATAATGGCCTGCATATACACACAGCAACTGCACTTCAGCCTATTTTATTTTGTGATGTGAACTGCTTTCAATTTAAAAAGTCATTCTAGCTCCAAAAGGAATATCAATGAGGCAAAATTCGTAATTGGGTTCAGTTAGCTAAAAAAGGAACGTGAAGCTTCTCTGTTACTCTGTAATCCTCAGCAGCAGTGTTATACCTTCAGTGTGTGTTATTGATTATGTAATACAAACGTGTGATATAAATAATTGGTTGCTTGATAGGAATGATGTTTTTTCCTACCTGACTTGTTATTGTACTGAATGCTCAGTAAATTTCCAAATACCAGCTAAAAAAAATCTTGTAAGTGATTCGGTTGGAAATCGAACCCACGACCTTCTTGATGTTGTGCCAATATACTAAAGCAACCAAAGCTTGTATGTGTTTAAAATACATTTCAAAAAAGATTAAAAAATCATGAAAATATGAAAATGAGTATTCTTATTAAATGTTTATGTATAGTATGCATGAACAAAAGCTTGTAGTTTTATCAAAGTGTGTTAGTCTCTAAAATGTTGTCTACCTAGCTATGTTACACCATGTACACTACTAGCACAGCTACCAAAAATTGTTCATCTATCTTGTTTGTTTATTTTAGGGCAGTTGTATTTTGCGATTGTCGCCGGTGCCTTCCTTGTTAGTAGTTCCGTACCTGTGTACTTCGAACTGATGGTGGAGACGGCGTATCCTGTTGGTGAGGGCACCACCACCATGTTTCAAGCTATCCTCAACAACTTGGTGGCGCTTATCTTCCTTTTTATACCAATGATACCGAATCTTGGTAAGATACCGATATATTAATTTTTATTTTATTCATTTTGGCAATCAAAAAATACAAAAATACATTACAAAAGAAATAAATTCATTCATTCATTCTTTATTCAGCCAAAAATATACATTTACAAAAACAATGAAAATTGGACATGCAACAAATTTTACAATATTAGCTAAGTTGGCTAGGATTGATAATAGTGATGAACACTCCGGTTCAAAAGCCTACCAACCCAGTCTTAGGAAATAGAACAGAAAGTATAAACATAAAATTTATAAATTTATATAAATTGGCTAAAAAGGAAAATTAATTAAGAAATCAAATAAACTCCTTAAACTATCAATATAAAAGGCAAATCAGGAAAGAAAAATACAAAGGATTAGTAAGCAATAGGAAAATCATTAATTTGAGAAAATAAAAAGAAGAAAAGGAAATAAAAAAAGTCCTGTATATCTACAGTAATTAATCTACAATAAAAAAAAAACAAATGGTTTGTACAAAGAAGTCAAGGGTCGTCTCTGAACTGAATCCAAAACAAGTTCCAACAAAACACATTAAGTGAAAGTTGGAAGGAATTATATACTGAAAATTAAATTAAATAGACAAATAGAACTAGGTACTAAAATATATTTAGATTTATTTATTTAAGTTTTAAAAAGGCCTATATAGATATTCATTTTTGACTGCATAAAATAAATAAATCTTAGATATTATATTTACAAATTAAATTAATATATTTACATTAATAATCAGCATGTCAAATTTACAATAAACAAAATACAGAACAAATTGTGTCAGTATTTAATACTTTGAGTGCTTGGAGCACTGTTATAAGCATGCAAATAGAGACAAATAGATAATCCAGAAGATGATCATCAAAAGATTTGAAATATGATTGCTAACATTGTGATATTTTTGTCTATTTGAGTCTTTCATGCTATCTATTGTATCAGAAAATTAAAAATGCAAATTACTTAATAATATAATGAATATTCTGTCTGTGAGACAGAAAGACTATCTAGAAATATTTTTTTTTTACAAAACCTACTTTCCGCATTAGGATTCACACCCAAGATTTCTATTTGCTTGCTCTAGCAAGTGCTCTATGAGGCCTGGCAGACACCCCACTGAATTTTCTCATTATGATATTCCCCAAGGTATTTCAGTATAGGCAAGACTACTGTGGAAAGTTGTATGATGACACAGATACTGTACATGTACATCTAAACTAATGTAGCATTTAGTATTTAATATTATTATTATTATTTAATGTACAGTATACATTTCTGTATTAGTGCAATTAATTTTTTCATTATTAATCAGGGGAAAACATACTTAACACCTTTAATCTGCATGTTATTGTTTACTACATTACACTCTTTTATTACGCGGATATCCCAACGGACTGAAGGCAGCTTTACATGAATTCTGCATGATTACTGTGTATCAGACAAATCAATGTAAACGTGTTGTGACATTTATATAGAAAGTGCTAAAAACAATAGTGGAACATCTTCATTCTATATGAATATATTAAGAGTATAATATTATTTTTTTATCTCTTGTTCAATCTCGGTCATATTTAATATCAACTTAATCTTTAGGTATTCTTTAACAACTGCCTTTCAATTTATCCCAATTCCTTAGTTAGTAAAAAATGCGCTCAACTGGATTCATTGTCTCCACTGACAAACCATTGATCCCAATTTCTAACGTTATTATTATCATGTTGTATCTGTATCTGTGTAAATTTTAAGTGTTGGTTAAATATAAGTTCGATAACTAATATATGGTGAACTTTTGTGTTTTTAGTACATTTTGATGGTAAATTATTAGGAATTAAAAACAAGGACCTTGGAATAAGCTACTCCATGATATAAAAGATAATGCTAATAATTTTTTTATGAGAATAAGAAGGTGATCTGTAATAATAGTTTTATAATTATAGTAATTATTATGACCTATATACAGTAATATGTCTTATACTGTGTAATAAAGATCTTGTGCTTCTGTGGCCTTCAGACCATCAAATAATTCTGAAGAAACAACACACTATTTATCCCAACCATTTTTAACAATGGAAGTTGTTTTCTTCTGGCTGTTGGTAGATTTCATAAATTCTCTTATAATCCCTGCTAGGATTAATAAACCTTATCCTCTGTGATTTTAACTTGTGCCCTAATTTTTAGCTATTATTTTCCTGTTAGGTGTATGTGGAAGCAATTAGGTATATTTATTACCTTTTTTAGTAAGAGTAAAAGACATATCTTTTATGAAAAAAAAAATGTGGGAGTAAATTCAAAAACTTTTGCTGTCTAAAAAGACATAAAATTGGAAACATTAAAAATAAAGTAATAACAACAAGACAAGAGGCACTGTCCGTTGTATATTTATAAAACAAATTCTGTAGTTATGGCAATCACTTAGTTTTAGTCTGTTTGAATTGACAACAGTACTTTTCCATTAAAAATATATTTCTGTAGTGAAAAATAATTATAGTTAAGAAAACAATGTTTTATATGATCAACCAAAGTGTTTTGAAAAGCTGTGTTATTATTAACCTCACAATTAAGTGAATGGGCATACAATTTTTTGCAATTCAAAACCATGTTAACACTGACACTCATTATACCAATATAGGAACCATATAGCAGACACACAAATGTGAGCATTAACGACAGTTAAGGTACCATTTTTACACATTCCAATACCTTGAATAGAATAAAATGCCATATTGTGCTTTCTAACACTTTCTTAACAAATTTTAGGAGGACACCAAGATACTTAATTGATTCAGTGACAAGTTTACACTCACTGAGAAACCAAGAGGGATCAGAATAGAGTGTCATTTTTCCAAAAATGATACAAGTGGTTTTTTGCTGAGATTATGAGAAAATCTATGCTCATTAGCAAAGTTAATTAGCTTTTGAAAGCCAGTAGAAGTATTCAGTCTGATTTTTGCCATACACTGTACAGTACTAGCGAATCATCTATCACAGAAATATGAAAACCGATTTGATTTATACCCAGACGATGGCCTGCTGCATTTGAATTACACAGGCAGATCAATTCAATAGACATAAAAGAACTTAAAATTAACCACTGACTCTATTAAGAAATCAGTTGAATACTTCAACCAGACTTGAGGAAAATAATTTAACAAAGCCACCTATTAAACCAAATACTGTATACTCATCATACCATATGCACTGCCAGTACATAACCCACTAGATCATGGACTGTTCAATTGTGAAGTTTATGGTACAAAATGTCTTGATTTTCTGCTACAATAGGATTATGCTCCCTGAGAGTTTCTTGTATCAATTTGCTGACAACACATGTTTATTATTACTATTCAACATCAAATTATTTCCTGGAGAGTTTTCGCTTTCTTGTGAACGGAACATCCAAAAACTGAATATCTTATAATTTTCTATCTCAATAGTAAACATTATATTAATATGTCTACTTTTGATAACTTAAAAGAATTTTTCTGCATCGTCTTATTATTATAACACAAAATCTGTTCATATCAGCTACAGTTAAAAACTTAAGTATATTTAGGCTTATTATTTTTTAACTCCCATAAATAAATTCGCAAGAATAGTGGCTAGACGGAAACCCATACTATTGCCATCTATTTGTTCATGATATTTGTTTTTAAAGTGGAGTTGAATTGCTTGGTCATTTAAAAGATGCTTGCCTTCCAATGCCAGGGTCCTGGGTTCAATAACATCAAATCAAAACAAGGCACTACAGAAGGAAGGAACCAAAAAATACCAAATGAATAATTAACATAATTTTCTTTATTATCTTATAGGTGTGCTTTGGATGAACTGGGCAATGTTTGGGGCTTGTTTCATATGCATTCCTCTACTTATAGTGTTCAAGGAGAATTATCAGAGGCTTAAGATGGACTTAAAGTGACTCCATCATCTGAAATACCAGCATATAGTATACAGTCCTTACAGTGTAACACTTTGCCTGTATTGACAAATTTATAGACACATAGAATATTGCAATGACATATCAATTGAAAAAATGGTGGTGTTGAATCTTGTATTAGAAAGGGTGTACAATGGTTTACTTATTTGATGATGGTTTCCTTTGAATGTGTTATAAGAGGTCTACCATCCAAAACATAGGTGACATACTACTACAGTATTTTTCTAGAAAAATTAATTTTAATTGATTTTACCTGTTTTAATATTGTATAATAAAAAAAAGGCCAAAACAAAGGTTAGTGATTCCTTTGCTTGTCCACACTATATGAATCAAACAGTAAAGGTCTGGCCACACTATCAAATATTCTTTGGCAACAAAAAAAAACTGTTGTGTGTTGTATGTTGTTGTGCCCATATATGGTCATGATGTGCCTATAAGAGGCATGTCGTGGCGAAATGGTTAAGTTGTCGCACAGGCCTGTATTGAGTAAATGAGCTATAAAATATGGGAGCTCAAAAAATTGCCGAAAAATCCAAATTTGTTTTTCACTATAAATCAACAGATTAATGTATTAATTTATTAATCATGTACCAAAGTATTAGTTCTGGAAGTGGTCAAGAAATTGTTTATTTAATGTTATTTTGATAGTTCATTCTATTAAACTTTGAAAGGCAATTACTCAAAATCATGTTTATTTTGATTCTAAGAGTATGCTTTCATTTTCCAATAACTTAGGCTTGAAATGTCCAATTTCAATGAATGACCCCTCATTTTGAAGATCACATACTCAGGTATCTGAAAATACCAATAACTTGAATTTCAATTTTTGCTACAACTTAGCCATTTTGCCACAACATGCCTCATATATGGTCATGATGTGATGTCATCATGACCATATTTAGGCATGATAGGGTACATGTTTTGCCAACCATTACACACCACATGTATTTTGGTTGCAAAAATGGTAATCACAAAGCTAAAGCAGCTTAGGAATGAAATTTATTAATTAAAGTTTGAAAAGTAACCTTACCGTGATACATAAAATTGCTGCTTCTTTGTCAAAAAATATATATATATTTTTTCAAAAACATTTACTACATAATTCATTCTCTTGCCAGTCATGCCAACCACTTATACTGTGAATTATTTTCAGATAAAATAATTTGTGTTAATCAAATAATTTTAATAAATCAACTTATTAGTCTATTGGTTTTAATGACAGATATGTACTAAAGTTTTAATTGCTATTTATTTCTTATTTAAATTAAAGAGATTAACATGTATAGTACAATTATTAAGTGCCATTGAAGGATTTTAAAATAATTTTTTGTTCAGCGCAATTTAGAATCTTGGTGCAATTTAAATGTCAAATATTGATATGGTTAATATGTACACATGAATATGGTTTAAACTGTTTAATTATATTTTAAGGCTATTTTTTTACAATTTTATAAGTTGGTAAGGTTGATATGTAGAGGCCTACTTAAGCAGCATTATATTAAAAATACATTACAATTATTGAAAAAAACCTCATGTTTTTATGTTATGATTATGATGATAAAAAAGTGGAGATGGAGATGGTATGATGATGAAAAAATGATAATATGGATGAGGAGTATGATGGAGATGAGGACAGTAGTGATGATGATAAGGCCAAAAAAAAATTGTTTGTTTGCCCTCCTCCACCCACCCGTAACTCACTGAAAAAAAAATAGGGGCAGAAAACAAAAGAACTTAAAAAACTTAATTTTTTTTGCCAGATGCCCTACAAATTTGTCTAAAGTTGGTGTCTGATGTAAGAAATTGCCATTCTAGGCCTCTGTGGGTTATTTTTAATAAATATAAAAAATAAACTTTTTCCACCCGCCCCTATTTATCTTTTTTTTTAAAAGAAGGGCAAACAAACAATTACTTTTTTTTTGGCCTAATGATAAACGATTAGATGATGATAAGGAGATAAAATTCATTTCATTTACTCATCTTAAATTATTAAAATTGACAAAAAGAAACGGCAAAGAACAAGCACAAACGAATATGAGACAGGACACCCCAAAAGTGAACTTAATCACTGTCAAGTGGGGGCCCTTCACAAAAAAACAAATGCTTACACTATAAAAGTAGTAAAATAATAAAATGATGATGACGACAACCAGGTAGCCATTTATACTGGAAGAGAAGAAACGCAGGTGAAATGCCTTCCTCAAGTACCCAAGCGAATTGCACAGCGAGGGATTCAAACCCCATCCTCGAGGTTTGGAAACCAAACTGTTCCCGCTGTGCCAAACCACCATATAAATTTATTTGTTAGGTATAATTAGGTAGGCATCATTAGGTAAAAAATATATTTCTTGTAGCATATTTTTTAATAATAATAATATAATAAAAAAAGTTTAATATATTAATAATAAAGGTAATAGTAATAACATAACAACAGCAGCAACAATAATATATAATAGTGCTTTATGCCATTGATTCAAGGCCTGTAAATGCTTGACATTATTCTTTTAATGTTTTATTATGTAACAAAAGAAATTACAGTACATCAATTAAATGCTCAATGTAGATGGACATTGTATATATCAATATTTTCTTGATTTCAATATTTTAATATACTTTTCAATAATTTAAAGATTTATATATGCAAACAAAATGAATTAAATTTCCGATAATTTTAATAAATTTCGATATTTTAAGTTTTAAAAATATAATTTGATTTTTGTATATAATTGGATTGTATGAATTGTGATGGATCATTTGTAAATAGATTGTTTAAAGTTCATTATTATATTGATAGTACTCTATGACCATTTCACTATTTTAAGTTTAATTAGGATTTCTATTTTATTAGTAATGCAATTGTTTAGTAATAATGTTTAGCAAATTTAATATTATATATGGCAGTTTCATATATTTTAGTAAATTTGAAATTCCTGTTAGGCCTATTGTACCTGTATATAACATTTATTGTCATTATTATTGTTTTAATATGGATTTGATAAGAAAATAAAGGGATACATTTCACCCTCCAATGCAAGACCATATTTGGGACCTGAAAATTTGAAGTGGTGTCAGGGTTCGGTCTCCAACTAGAGGGTTAGTTTGATGTTAAATGATTGACAATTCTTACTTGGTTCTTAAAAAAGTGGTCTCGAATTAGAGGAGTCCTGGAATTTAAGGGGTCCTGAATTGGAGGGTGCACACGGTACCGTGAAAGTGCTATTCCTTTCCTGATCATGTGCCTGAACGAACTGAATGATGTTTAATGGCAATAATAATAACTATAATAATGACAATAACAATAATAACAATAATAAAAATAATAATAGTAATAATAATAATAATAATAATAATAATAATATAATAATAATAATAATAATAATAATAATAATAATAATAATATTGAAGTTGGGATATAATTACAATATTATCTTTATAAGTTATAATTTGATTTTAATAACAGCAAAAGTTCCCATGGTCTAATCTTAATGTGATTATAATGCTCTTTGTATTGTTCGTTTATTGTCTTTTACTAGTTTTATATTTTGTCTCAATATTTCTTAATAATAGTGGAATAAGTAGTGTTTTTATGTAAATTTTTTCTGTCTTTTTACTTGTAAAAATGTTTCTTTTTAAACTTCCTTTAATAAACAATTTAAAAAAAAATTAATTGTTATAAATAATGTTAATGTATATTGTAAATCACATGCAATTCAGTGTTAATTTTACTGCCATTTGAGATCTAAATAAAATGTCAATTTTACTGCCATTTGTGATTTAGATAAAATGAAATGAATCTTAAATATACATAGGCCTATATTATATCACGACGATCAATGATGGGAAATTGTGTACCATAGTCTTTCTTGAGTTTACCGCCGTTCAATACCGTTGATTACATTGTATGTTAAACGACTTGGATCTTTTGGATTTGGTGATTTTGTTTTATAATGGTTAATTTGACAATACTAGCGACCACTCTCAGATAGTAATTCAATCAGTAGTCGAGGTTATTCCCTTCTTGAAAACGGTCAGGTAAACTTTCTCATTTTTATTACAGTAAATATGTCTATTTATGTGTGTATACGTACATTTAAAAAAAAATGAGTTGCTTACGTATTCTTTTTTCCATAATGGATAACCCCAAAGAGGTAGTGGGGTCCGGGGTCCTCCCCCGGGAAAATTTTGATCACTAGATGGCAGGAAATGAGCTTTTCCGACTTTTGAGGTGTCTTTTAATGACTTTTAAGTTCTTCAAAATTCAAGGTTTTCCCCCGGGAAAATTTTGATCACTAGATGGCAGGAAATGAGCTTTTCCGACTTTTGAGGTGTCTTTTAATGACTTTTAAGTTCTTCAAAATTCAAGGTTTTCCCCTCTTAAAAACGGTCAGTAAACTTTCTCATTCTTATTACAGTAAATAGGCCTATTTATTTGTATATACGTACATTTAAACAAATTGAGTTGCTTACGTATTATTTTTTCCATGAATGGATAACCCCAAAGAAGAAAGGGGTCCAGGGGCCTCCCAGGGAAAAATCACTAGATGGCAGGAAATGAGCTTTCCCGACTTCTGAGGTGACTTTTAATAACTTCTAAGTTCTTTAAATTTTAAGGTTTTCCTCCGCTTGAAAACGGTCGGGTAAACTTCTCATTCTTATTACTGTAAATACTAGTAGCCCTACTATGTGTGTATGTAAAGTACATGTACAGTCGCTGCATGCATATTCTTTTTTCAATAAATCGATGAACCCCAAATAAGACGGTGGTCGGGGGTCCTCCCCAGGAAAATGTTGGTTCTTAGATGGCGAGAAATGAGTTTTTCGGACTTCACTTTCTCATTTTTATTACAGTAAATATATCTATTTATGTGTGTATACGTACATTTAAAAAAAATGAGTTGCTTACGTATTCTTTTTTCCATGAATGGATAACCCCAAAGAGGTAGTGGGGTCCGGGGTCCTCCCCCGGGAAAATTTTGATCACTAGATGGCAGGAAATGAGCTTTTCCGACTTTTGAGGTGTCTTTTAATGACTTTTAAGTTCTTCAAAATTCAAGGTTTTCCCCCTCTTAAAAACGGTCAGTAAACTTTCTCATTCTTATTACAGTAAATAGGCCTATTTATGTGTATATACGTACATTTAAACAAATTGAGTTGCTTACGTATTCTTTTTTCCATGAATGGATAACCCCAAAGAAGAAAGGGGTCCAGGGGCCTCCCCGGGAAAAATCACTAGATGGCAGGAAATGAGCTTTCCCGACTTCTGAGGTGACTTTTAATGACTTTCAAGTTCTTCAAAATTCAAGGTTTTCCCCCTCTTAAAAACGGTCAGTAAACTTTCTCATTCTTATTACTGTAAATACTAGTAGCCCTACTATGTGTGTATGTACAGTACATAACAAAAATTGAGTCGCTGCATACATATTCTTTTTTCAATAAATCGATGAACCCCCAATAAGACGGTGGTCGGGGTCCTCCCCAGGAAAATTTTGGTTCTTAGATGGCGAGAAATGAGTTTTCTGGACTTCTGAAGTTTCTTTTAATCAAAATTCAAGGTTTTCCCCTTTTGTAAACGGTCAGGTAATTTTTTCTCATTCTTATTACAGTGAATAGGCCTATGTGTGTACTGGTACACAGAGAATTTTTTTATTTTTTATTTATTTATTTTTTTTTTTTTCAAGGGGAGTCAATGGGTCCTGACCCCCGAGATCCGCCAATGCCTAGGTTTAGGTAGGCCTACTTTGTTTCATGTCAATAAGAGACAACAGGATTATACAATTTCATACAGTATATCTTGTAAATTACACAATGATTAAACCAGGTACTGTCTTGAAAACAATAAGGAAGTGTCAAATGTTGTCTACACAAAAACTGTATTTTATTAAAAGAGTAAGTCTACTGAAGGAGTGTCGTCAATGGAGATGTGCACACATGTCAGTGTACTGTGGTCACTGTGCATGGGAAAGAAGAGAATTAAAGAAAATTAATAAAAAAAATAATAAAAAGAATAGAGTAAAATAAAGAAAATTTAAGGTAAAAATAAGAAAAGAGAAATAACAGAATGGAAACGAAAAAGAAAAGAAAAGAAAAGAAAGAAACGAAAGAAAAGGGAAAGAAAGGAAAGAAATGAACAAAAAGGGAAAAAAGGAAAGTAAATGAACAAAAATTATTAGAAAATTAATATAGAGTGGAAAACGAAAAAAAAAAAAATAAATACCAAGATGATTTTAGAAAGATATAGAATGGAATTATACAAAATACAAAACTTATTGGAAGACAGTTGATAAGGAATTGAAAATTGGTAATCAATCGAAAGTAATGGAAATAAAAAATAATTATATAATTGCTTGGTACGGTATGAAAGTATGTGCAGAGGGAGAGTGATAGATGCCGACAGTAAACATCGCGGAAGATAGTTTTAACACAAATGAAATTATGTAAACATAAATTAAATAATATTACATTCAAGTTAATGGTATGAAGACACTAATATCGAATAGACCTCATGCATATGAGATGGCTAAATATAATTTTCAAATGATATATAAACATATATAAGATATGAAAATAAGGGAAAGGAAACAAAAGAAATGAAAGGAAACGAAATGAAAAGAGGGCAAGGGAAAAAACAAAAAGAATAGAAAATGAATATAAAAGGAAATGTAAAAGGAAACATCAAGAAAATTAGGAAAAGTATATAGATAGTTTTAGCATAAATGAAATTATGTGAACATAAATTAAATATCACATTTAAATTAATATGAAGACATAAACATGCAATAGTCTTTATGTTTATGAGATGAGATAGTTTTAGCATAAAGGAAATATGTAAACATATATTAAATATCATATTCAAATTAATGATATGAAGACACAAATATGCAATAGTCTTCATGTCTATGAGATGACCAAATATCATTTTCAAATATAGGCTATTATATATATATATATNNNNATTGTATTATTACTTGAATATACATATATAGGCCTATATATATGTATATATATGTTAATATATATATATATATATCTGTATATATATGTACATATATATGTATATATAAAATACAGTTTTATACACAGAATGTTTTATTCAGAAAACAAATATTTCGTTTTTTGCATCACATAAAAACATATTGAATAAATTATATTGTTCAAGTTATGTCTACAACTCAAAGCTGATTCTTATTGCTGTCTTTTTACATTTGATTCATTGATTTTATTTATTCATATATAAGAGAGGTAACCTCTAAAACCTCTTGCAGTAAATGCTATAATTATATATAAATATATACTATATTATACATAAATTATACATATTATATATAAATTATATTATATTTTATGTAAATTTATACTATATATATAAATTTATCGTATGCGAAGCAAACATCTGTGTAAATAATTGTTAAAATCAATGAGTAGTACAATATTGTAAAGGTTAATCTGGAGTTTGAGTTATATCGTTATTTTTTTAGAATATTAATCATTGTGTTTTGTGATACGATGACTAAGACCATGAATTATAATTAAAAATGAATACTCCAAATGCACATATTGTAATGCCAATTGCTTTGTTAAGCAAAATATGTGTTTTGTTCTATACTCCTTGATACAATAAATAGCCCTACTCTAGAATTGAACGCATTCTGATATTCCTACTTCTGGTCCTGATATAGTGAGAAATGACCATGATGTTTTGTTGCCTTAATTTCAGCAATCTGATTATCGTGTTGATCCTATCTATGGTGGTTACTTCGAGTAAGTTTTTTTTTTGTTGATTTCCAATATAAGATTTAATATAATTCTTTGTTTTTCCATTTTCTTTAATTTTTAACAAGTTAGGAAGACGATGACTGGATCAACTTGGATCCACCATGTTGTAAATAATGAAAGGATTTGGTATGGTAGGAGATAATGGAACATTGTAATAAGGATGTTAAAAGAATAAAGTAGGCGAACGTAGATGATGAAAAAATGAAGTAAAGTATAGAAATGGTAGATGATGGAAGTGGAAGAAGAACCAATGGAAATGACGAAGTAAAGAAGATAACACTGAGAGGTGAATTTTCTTTGTTGAATTAACATTTTAATGCTAATTACTTTAATATTTAGTTTTGATTGTTACTGTTAATATTATAGCGAAATGCGACTGTCAATCTTCAGAATCTACTTGCCAAAATAGAGGAACTTGCACCTACGATTCCCGTATTGGTTATTACTGTGTATGTACACCAGGACGGGTGGGACCTACATGTGAACAGAGTAAGACACTATTACATATTAATCACATAGAGATTAGTTTTAACTGCAATATAACATTAGCCACAAGATATTTTTATTCTTTTCTATTTCTTAAAGAGGATTAATTGAAACCATTAGGCCTACATAATATACAATATTTTACATTTTCAATTTAATTTTTTTTTTCACAGTAATAAATGATAAGTAATGGTAATGTAAATTTATATGTTAAAAAGAAATCTACTAAGAAAGTAAACGTAAGGAGATAAAAACATTTGGTATTAGTACAAGATATCTATTAATCATGCACTATTTTATTTGCAGTAGACTGGTCGACCTTTTATTCTGGAATAGCTAGGTAGATGTTTATACCGATACGAATATCAAGACGGCCTATCCGAGAACGAGAAGGGAATATTTTATCATTTAATAATTATCGAAGCAGTTTTACTTCGATTTGTGAAATTTTAAAAATACTGTTTTTGGCTTGACTTTTGTTACATGATTAACTGTTTAGGTTCAATTTTCTTCAACAACATATATCCTTGAACTTTCTTTGCTAATGAGTCCACATTAGAGCTATATAAACATATAAACATAAAGTAGAGGATAGAAATTTAACTGAATGAGAATTTGTGTTGAAATTTATATTACTGCTGTATCAGTATTTCAATTATGTAACTCAAAATAATCAATGGAAACATAACCAATTTATCTTTTCTGGGCATTTTCTTTCCGAATTGTGTCGTTCCAGCTAACCGACCAGGAAGAAGCTCAGCGTTCCGCATTTTAAAATTGGGAGCTTTCGATTGCACGACGACGGTAGGACGTAGAACGAAATGACGTCACTAAAAGTCATCTGCGCATGCGAGAACGTTAAGGTCACCTCGTCGAGTAGATTCTGGATTCTGGAACCAAATCTACGTTTGCAGACAGAGCCGTAGATAGAGAGAGTTTGGCCAACTTGGCGCATGGACGCCATGTCCAAAACAGCCCAGGCGAATGCGCGCGTATACCTTTAATGTTTTGTTTTGGTGACAACATGGCCGGTGTAAGTCATGAGATTGCGATCCACCCAATCACACGCGCGTATATCGAATCCCGTGAAACAGAGTAGGCCAAACTCTCTCTATCTACGGCTCTGTTTGCAGAGAACGTAGGACGCCAGGTAGGACGGTCACGCATGAGTGATTCCGTTCTAGCGTCGTGTCGTCGCACAAATCGAAAGCTCCTTAAATATGAGGCGCCAAGTGTAAATTTATTATTTAACACAATTATTTATATATAATTCATTATTTAACATATAATTGAATAGATCACCCATTATTTATATAATTTACGTCTAAAGGCCAACTCAGACAGCGTCGGCCGACGCAGCCCAACCCGATTTATCGTCGGGGACAGTCTTAAGCCGTCGTGAGAAATATTAAACACGTTTAATATTCTACTACGCG